GGGGCTCCCTCCTCCGCCGGGGGGTGACCCACCGGGGCCACCGCTCCCCTCTGCTCCTCGCCCCCGCCGGGATCCGAACCCTCAGCCTGGAGCCGCCATGGGCCGCGCCGCGGGGCACGCTGGGAGTTGTAGTCCATTACCGCGCCCCCGCCCGGCCAGCCCCGCCCCCGGCGGACTACAACTCCCAGGCGGCGCCAGAGCCCGGTGAAGCTGAGGGGAGAACAGCCAAGATGAACGCGGTGTTGGCCGTCAAGCAGTATGTCTCCAAGATGATCGAGGACAGCGGGCCGGGAATGAAGGTCCTGCTCATGGACCGGGAGACGGTGAGCGGCGGGGCCGGGGCGGCGGGGAGGGGAAGGCACGGCGGGGCAGGGAAGGCCCAGGCCCGAGGCCCAGCCCCGAGGCCCAGCCCGGGGTGATGGGCGCCATCCCCTCCCTCAGACCGGCGTGGTGAGCATGGTGTACACCCAGTCCGAGATCCTGCAGAAGGAAGTGTACCTCTTTGAGCGCCTCGACTCCCCCAACAGGGAGGCCATGAAGCACCTCAAGGCCATCTGCTTCCTGAGGCCCACCAAGGTAGGGACCCGCGGGGCTGAGGGGGGGGATACCCCCCGGGGGGGGGGTTACAGGCCCCTTGGGTGGTCATATCCAAAGGGTGGTGGTCAATGGCTCCACGTCCAGATGGAGATCAGTGACAACTGGTCCCCTACTGGGACTAGATCATTGTCTTCATTGGTCACATTGATGGTGGGACCAAGAGGACCCTCATCGGTGACCAGTGGTCCCCTACTGGGACCAGATCAATGTCTTCATTGGTCACATTGATGGTGGGACCAAGAGGACCCTCAGTGGGTTCCAGGTGACACCGAGCTGTGTGGGGCAGTGACACCCCTGAGGGACAGGGTGGCATCAGAGGGACCTGAAGAGGTGGCCCCGTGGATGGCCACGAGCTGACAATGTGCCCTGGTGGCCAAGGAGTGAGAGGACCCTCAGAGGGTTCCAGGTGACACCAAGCTGCGTTGGGCAGTGACACCCCTGAGGGATGGGGTGGCATCAGAGGGACCTGGAGAGGTGGCCCCGTGGATGCCCATGAGCTGACAATGTGCCCTGGTGGCCAAGGAGGCCAATGGCATCCTGGGGGGCATCAGGAAGAGTTGGGGGTGACCTGCTGGGGAGCAGCTCTGAGGAGAAAGACCTGGGAGTCCTGGGGGACAACAGGATGCCCAGGAGCCAGCAATGGTGGCCAAGGAGGCCAATGGCATCCTAGGGGGCGTGAGGAAGAGCATGGAGAACTTCAAGGGAGGTCATCCTGCCCCTCTGCTCTGCCCTGGGGAGGTCCCAGCTGGAGCACTGGGACCAGTTGTGGGCTCCCCAGTTCCAGAAGGACAGGGAAGTGCTGGAGAGGGTCCAGCAACTGGTGGGGATGGAGAGGGGGCACGGGTCACTCCAAACCCTTCTTCATCAACGTTTTTCAAATCTGCTCTCCCCGGGGCTGTTTTCATCCAGGAGAACGTGGAATTCCTCATTCAGGAGCTGCGGAGGCCGAAGTACAGCATCTATTTCATCTGTGAGTGTGTCCCCCGTTCTGCCCCGTGACTCTGACCCCTCAGAGACCCTGAGGGTCGGTGGAAAACACAGATGCGAGACACTGTCACTGCTAAAATCCTCAGAAAGTGTGAATTTTACTTTTTATGCTACTTTGGTCACCAAATTCTTTTAGCCAAGGGTTTTATGTAGAGGAGAAAGTGGTTAAACCGAAGCAACTCCTAAGGGGTCGTTATAAAGCGACACCATAAATCTGGATTTCTCCCATATGGCTTATCCCAGAAAATTTTTGAGAGTTTAAAGCTTCATGTTGCTTCAAAAATATGAAAAAAGGGTGATGCTGGGGGTAAAATGCCTTTTTTCTTAAAGGAAAACAGATGCGCAGGGGGAGAGACTGGCCCAGCTTTTTGAAGGTAAATAATTTGGGGTAGAACTCCCATCCCAGTGTTGGACCGGAGACGGGTGTTTGTCACCTCCTGCTCACGCCCCACACAATATTGGGTGCTTTTGGAGCTGAAATGGAACAATTCCAGCGGGTTTTGTCTCCAGTGGCTCTGGGAATTGAGCTGGAGTGGCCTCTAGATGTCATCACGGCTCCGCAGGAAGGGGGTGACCTGCAGCAGAGCCGAGGGGGCTCAGCAGAGTGACTCTTGCTGTGTCCAGCCATTTATTATTGGTTGTTTTTTAATATGATGGTGCTTAATTGGGGAAATGTGGGGGTAGGAGAGGCCACGGGGCGTCGAATCCGTCGCTGATCGTTGGCTCCGGGGGCAGAAAGTCGGATGGGGAATTAGCTCGGAGCATCCGTGTGAAGTTTGATAACTCCAGGTGGAATTTGGGGATGGCTGTTGGGATCTGCTCCTGTCCCAGGGGGGGTAAAAAAAGCCCTGTCACCCTGTTCTGTGGCATCGTCACCCGTCACTGGTGGAGCCCAACTGTTCTTCTTGCTCTTGTTTCCTTCCAGATTTCAGTAACGTCATCAGTAAGAGCGACGTCAAGTCATTAGCTGAGGCTGACGAACAGGAGGTTGTGGCCGAAGTTCAGGTGAATTTTTGAACCTTTTCAGTCAATCCCCTAATTCCAAAAGCACCGGCAAAGCGAAGGTACGAGGTGTGGCCCGTGAGAGGACTGTAGTTTTTGAGGAGCGTGAAGCAGCATCTTGCAACAGTCTGGGGTGGAAGATAAAACGAAGGTACACGGGGGATTAAAAAGGAAAAAGAAATCAGAAAAAAAAGAAATAAAAACTGTCCCCTGTTTCTCCCTCCGCTCTGGTTTTCAGAGCTGCTCCTGCTTCTGGTTTGTGGTGTTGATGGAGGGGTCCGTGCTCGAGGAATACCCACAGCAAATGGGCAGTGGGGTGGGCAGTGGGAGCATAGGGATTCCAGAGGTTCCTCCTGGAGGAAGGAGAGATGAGTAGAGTCAAGGAGAGTGTGCATTGCTTGGGATTTTTAGCCTTAACGTGGCCGGTGCTGGAGCAGGGAAGGCTCTTTTTAGGCTGAAGAAGGGTTGGCAGGAGACCTGACTCTTTGCTTTTCGCTCGTTGGCAGGAGTTCTACGGCGATTACATCGCGGTGAATCCCCACGTCTTTTCTCTCAACCTCTTGGGCTGCTGCCAGGTATGAAAAAGGGAAAAAAAAAACCAAACAAAAAAGCTTGGGTTATGGTCGACGGTCTTGGGTTATGGTCAACGGTCTTGGGTTATGGTCGACGGTCTTGGGTTATGGGTGGGCAGTGGGAGCATAGGGATTCCAGAGGTTCCTCCTGGAGGAAGGAGAGATGAGTAGAGTCAAGGAGAGTGTGCATTGCTTGGGATTTTTAGCCTTAACGTGGCCGGTGCTGGAGCAGGGAAGGCTCTTTTTAGGCTGAAGAAGGGTTGGCAGGAGACCTGACTCTTTGCTTTTCGCTCGTTGGCAGGAGTTCTACGGCGATTACATCGCGGTGAATCCCCACGTCTTTTCTCTCAACCTCTTGGGCTGCTGCCAGGTATGAAAAAGGGAAAAAAAAAACCAAACAAAAAAGCTTGGGTTATGGTCGACGGTCTTGGGTTATGATCGAAGGTCTTGGGTTATGATCGATGGTCTTGGGTTATGGTCAGTGGTCTTGGGTTATGATCGATGGCCTTGGGTTGTGGTCAATGGTCTTGGGTTGTGGTCGATGGTCTTGGGTTGTGGTCGATGGTCTTGGGTTATGATCGATGGCCTTGGGTTATGATCGATGGTCTTGGGTTATGGTTGATGGTCTTGGGTTATGGTTGATGGCCTTGGGTTATGGTCAGTGGTCTTGGGTTGTGGTCGATGGTCTTGGGTTATGGTCGATGGCCTTGGATTATGATCGATGGTCTTGGGTTATGGTCAATGGTCTTGGTGTGTGGTTAATGGCCTTGGTTTGTGGTTACTGGGGAAACCTACTGGGTTACTGGGGAAACCAGTAGCCCCAAGAAGCTGGGCGCGGTGGAGGGCTGCCCCACAAGGAGGTGGGGAAGCCTCTGTGTGCCTGTTCCTCCAGTCAAACTATATTTTACCATAAAACTTGAAGACTTGGACATAAGATTTGACCTGAGCTCCGAATTGAAGCCTCTGTGCGCTTGTTCCTCCAGTCAAACTATATTTTACCATAAAACTTGAAGACTTGGACATAAGATTTGACCTGAGAAGGAGTTTGGGGATGGTGGGGCCGTACTGGATGCAGCTTTTCCTCGCAGGGCCGGAGCTGGGACCCGGCGGCGTTGGCCAGGACCACTCAAGGACTGACAGCTCTGCTCTTATCCCTGAAGAAATGCCCCATGATCCGGTACCAGCTCTCCTCCGAGCCGGCCAAGCGGCTCGCTGAGTGCGTGAAGGTACGGCCAGAACCCGCAGCCACGTGAAATAAGTGCAACAACCCACTTACATTTTCTTTAATTTTTTTACGTTTTGATCCAGTTGAGAAAAAGACCCCTTTTCCAATCCATTTGTGTTGTCGCATCCCTTGCCTCTGCCTGCTCCCAGCCACAGAGCAGGGAAAAACCGTATTTTCACTGAATTTCACTGAATTTTAGAGTTGGAAGGGACCATAGAGATCATCTAGTCCAACTCCCCTGCTGAAGCAGGATTGCCCAGAGCTAGAGCATGTTACTCAGGAGCATCCAGGCGGGTCTTGAAAATCTCCAAAAGAAGGGGACTCCACTAAAAGGGGACTCCACACCCTCCCTGGGCAGCCTCTTCCAGGGCTCTGTCACCCTCACCGTGAAGAAGTTTCTCCTCAGATTTGAGTGGAACCTCTTCTGGTCCAACTTGTGCCCGTTGCCCCTCGTCCTCTCACTGGGAACCACTGAAAAGAGTCTGGC